CTTACTAGTACGAGTAGCGATGGCCTCCAACCTAGTAGGGATGGCCTGCAACCTGGCAGCTTCTTGTTACTAGTAGCGATGGCCTCCAACCTAGTAGCTTCTTGTTACTAGTAGCGATGGCCTCAAACCTAATAGCGATGACCTCCAACCTAGAAGGAAGTCTGGTCCCGAAATCGTTGGATTTGAGTGATGAGTGATTCCGACCATTTTACTTTGTGGCTTGACGCTGTCATGGTGCTCGTTTCTCCGTCCAACGGTCCAACTGTATCTCGCGTCCACATGTACAGTACATAGTGATGATCGATACACCGGGTTAGGTTGCATAAGCCTCGCACCATCTGATCTACAACCGATCATGATGAAATCATACCATGGTATGACAACAAAGAAGTACACGAGGCTGGCAATTAAAAATGAGCAGACACAAGGCACAGCCGATGTGGTTGGTAGCCGGCACAATTCCCGCAAATCTGATCACGTGATCACATCCCAGGCTATGAGGAGCCATCATTCTGCCAAGCCAAAAGATCGGTGACAAATGATTTGGAGATCGTGCCATAAAAAGTCGGATGAAACAAACTAGATGTGCCACTAAACATATGTCTGGAAACAAAGAAGTCCTTCACTATTCCATGTGCAAGTGACCAACAAAAATGCCGCAGTTCTTGAAGTTGAGTACAGTGACTGACGCAATCAGCAGCGATGGCAGCCTCCATAACTCTGGGGTGAAACGGCCACACAGTCAGCTGCGAATGGCCTTGACAGTGTTGAGTTTGCATGACCGAAAAGGACAAATGCTCACGTCAGCTTGCAAGCAAGGAACGTAAGCACAAAGTGCCATAATAATCCTGAAACTAGTCTCAGATCACCTCAATGTTTGAGAAAATGCAGAGACTTTAGCTTCACTAGGATGTAAGAACCAAAGACAGAAGGAATCCGGTTGCTTGACCAAACCAATCAATCCTGGGCACGCATCAGAAAGGGAGGTTTGAGAAGTAGTGCTTGACAATGAGGAAGCACAGCGCGTCATGATACTGCCGTTACTAGAGCCATCATCATCTTTCTGTCCGAAGTGGCCTTAGTTGTACATGTCGCTCAACTCCCTAGTAGCGTCCTTGCTCCTAGTAGCAATGCCAGGAGCCCCTAATAGCGTCCTTGCTCCTAGTAGCGATGCCAGGAGCCCTAATAGCGTCCTTGCTCCTAGTAGTGCTGTGCACAAACCATATCATTTGAACAAGCCTCCGGAAATGACTTCCCCCAAATGTCTTCCGCCAAGTCTCGGATGATTTCGTTCCAGTTAGGTATCAAGCCTAGGCCGATCGCATTGCCACATCCAACAGCTCTTGGGTCTTAAGGTACGGGTTCATCTCAACATTGGAGCCTTTTTGAGCAAATCCATTTTGCTTGTAGCCACAGGTATTCGTCAAAACCAAACTGAAACCTACGGACACCTTCAATTTCTAGGGGCTCAGACATTAATTCCTCTCTTTCTGAGGTCATTGACACGATTGATTCTGATCAGCAAAAACTTCTCAGCATTATATAGTCAT